TTGAAGTTTCCGAGGTACTTTACGGTTGGTTGGCACATTCATAGTGACGGTGCTAAAAGCTAAAGCCATATTCCGAAGCTTTAGTGTCCGTCCGTCGGTGATGAAAGGGTCACTTGACTTGCCCCAACCAAGTCACCAACAGGGTGAAAATACTAGCGCTGGCTCGCCCTTAGTATAAGCGCGTCACAAACCTCCACCAAAGCGCTTATCGTCACCAACGCGAGAAACACTCCGTCGCTCGACGATGGTCAACCGCGCAACTCCTACCAGACACACCCGAAACACACGGAATCCGCCAATTCCAAGTAATTTCCTCCGAAAATCATTAGCTTACCTTGGCTAATTTGCTAGCTGAGTCAGGGATATGCGGGCGGTTTAGGCATACAGAGTAGCAGCACTCCGGCGCACATGTACGGTAGGTCGTCAGCGACAGCGCGCTGTATCGGATTGCTGGTCCCACGGGTGACCGCTATACACCCGCCGTGGCGTTGACCCGTCGTTAACGATGAAAGCCAAGGGGAAAAGACGGCACCCCTATCCATATGCCGTGCCACTTAATTATATCACTTGAAGACTCATGGAAGCTTACTCATCTTGGACTCAAAAAGCTCCTTGAAAATCATAGCTCCATCAAAATATTCAAATATGCCACAAACCTGCATCGGCGCTTTAGAGGGTGCGAAACGGAGAGTTCTATCCTTATTTAAAACGTTATTACGTCGCACTATCACGTCCTTCCCTTCACCATGCGGCGATATCATTTCCCCGCCGGCAGTCGTTTTCGCCTAAGCCGCCATCGCCATCGCCACCGCACCCGCCGCCGAGCCGCCGCCACCGGCCGCCGCCGCGGGGATTGGCATATGCAGCTGCAGGCGTGTGTGTGCCGGGATACGCTGCGGGGTCGCGGCTGCCATCCTTCACCTGCTTCCGCGAGCGCGACTCGGTGGCAGCCTGTAGTAAAATTTAAACGAGTCCGCGCGCCGTTCCAACTGCGGGTTCCGGCCGGTCGCGGCGCGCGCGCGGCCGCGAGGCAGGCAGTATATTATCGACTGAGGCTTGCTGTCTAACGAGACGACGGCGCGGCGAGGTTTGAGGCCAACGGACGCGAAAAAGAAGTCCCGCGACGATCCCTGGTTGCATTTACGAGTGGATGGAGATGCAAAGAAAGCCAGGAGCCCCGAACGAGACGACGCGGGCCCAGAGCTAACGCGTCAAAATGAAGACATTCGCCTGTGCCGAGGCGGTCTGGCTGAGGGTTTTCATTGAGACGTTCAACATAATATTCTCTTAGGTAACCATCTTCGAGCAAGCAGATGTGCAGTTCAACTATAACTCTTCATGGTCATAGGCCCATGTGCACGTCCAACTTAGTACAGTCGAAGGCCATTTGGATTATCATGCAGAATGCCCCAGAGATGCACTCGAGTGGACGGCACGCGAACAATACAACTAAGCTTGTTTGAAATTTGCTGATGACTGCGTCTCGAAAGTCAATGATCCATACCTCTATTGGACATCCGATAAATCATTGTTTCTGCTTGCTACAACTACTCTACTAATTTCCACTTGCACTCTCTGAACACGCTTTGCAATGTCTCTTCTACTGTTAGCTGCTTCCACGTGTCGCTGATGAGGGGGTTATGTGAACGCTTTATTCGCGGCATAAACATAGGCAGACAACATAAACATGCCAGTATTCTAAGTGAATTCAGCTGGAACAGTAAGTGTTTTTTTTCAATCTCGTGAAACACTTGAGTGTAACTAGATTCTTTACTGCGATGAATCTATAGAGTACGGTGTCCAAACGATGTGAATATAGATAATGCCTAAAAATGAAAATAACCGCACAGAGAAGCCATATATACTGACTATAACTCCAGTTTAATATACACAAATATCCATTTTAGTGGTCTATGTTGGAAGCAAACAATACGATTCCGGCCATTTCTCGTGCGTTTTAATTATCTGTGTCCGGATGTACTTAATGTTACATACACAGTAATGCTGAAGCGCGACATTATCTGATTAACTTATCGACTTTTTTAATACACTCTCATAGTTTTAGTTCTCATGTGTCGAGTTCTTTCACAAGTATCCTTTCTTAGTTATACTATACTCCTGGAACCGAGTATTATTCAGGAGTAGATGCGGGGCCCCGGACAAAATACTGGATATGCCCCCCGCAAGCATAGCTACATACTCTCTTAGTGTGTAGAAAAGAAATGTAGTCATAGTTCGACCAGTAACAAGTAGCTTTCTGCTCAGATAGCAAATGAAAAACTATAATTATTGTATAGAAGAAATTTTTAACTTGTGTTACATTTTTTTACATTAATATTATTTTACTAATTTTTTATTATCATTTTACAGTTTTTTTCCGAAACTCGGGCTCGCTGTTGAATGGGGGGTCCCCCAGCTACTCGCTTGTTTTGCTTGTTAGGAAAAAAATCGGCGTCGACTATATCTTCTATCCATTTTACTACTCCACTCGTAGTTACATTTTGTTTTGCTCGACTTTTTTTCCTTTACAAAAAAGTTCACTAAAAATCACTCTTATCACGCCTGGCATTAGCTATTTTCTGGCCAAGGAAGTTTCAATGAACGGCAAGAAAAAAGCTTCAAGTCACTTTCTCATTCACGTTTGCGCAATATTTCAATCCTCACGAAATCATAACTGTCGGCCATACATGACCTGGTTTGGAATCGCAGCAGCTCAGCGCGCATGGTAACGGCAGGTGTCCAATAATAAGTCCACAGCTCGGAGCCTCATCTATTAGCACCCAGATGTACAATGCGTTGAAACTGATAAACTTCTAGTTTCTCAATTGAATTTCTCCTTTTCTTCGGTTCTCGATAAGCTCGATTCCCCTCCTCATGTGCATCCGGAATAAGTGGCTGGCTCCCTATTCGCTGGGACGTATATACCTTTCTCTGTTGCGCTCCGCAAGGAGACGATTAATTGTCGAAGATATTTGCGTGACGTCAGTTTACGATCAGCGTGCAAGAGCCGCAGAAAGGAGAGATGATCCTGCGTTAGACACCGCCGAGCCCGATCAGTGTAATGTAAACCGTCGCTGCTCGCTGCACAAGTATACCCCAAATGAACTTTAATGAATACTAAATATTGGAATTAGCACAAGCCGTTGGAAAAGTTCGAAGAAAAACGTTGGAGCAATTTTTGAGAAAATAGCGATTGAGCGTTTCTGAAAATCAAGTACTTTGAGCTCGTTTTCACAGAAAACTGTTGCGTTTTCAAGAAATTCTATCTGACATTATTTAAGGCTCATGTATTTGTAAATGAATAAACGAGAAGAAATCGTTACTAACATTAACATGACATTATCATGACATTAATGTTAATGCCGTAAATATTAACGAGAGAGACTAGTCAAAAATACACATTTGTGTACTTTTTGAAAAAACAAAAGAATAGAGTAATATGACGTTATGTTATACTATCCCTATCAAAAATTTAGAGAAAACGTTTAAAAGAACCGTTTTTTTATTTTGCACGCAATATTGTGCGAAAACTATAGATCAAATTGATTGAAGTTTCAAAAAATGTGACTAACTATGGACAACCAATTTTATTTGAAGCAAAATTCCCTATGTTCAATTCTGTAGTCGTGGATAGACGCCGAAAATTCTCTAACTTTTGAAATTTTCAAAAATTCAGAGTTAACCTTAAAAAACGTTTCTATGTTAGCTTTATAAGTGTATTTCACTCTATTTTTTACAAGAAACTTAAAGAAAAATCTTGAAGCCTTTTTTGAGAAAATTTTAAACATGTAACTTATTTCCCAATTTTAAAGAATGATTTTCAAAATATCAGAACTTAAACTCGAGCCAGATCATTAGGGGTTTCTTGAATTTTGAAAATACCCTACCAACGGTGTAGGCGTTAGTGGGATTCACAGACGAACGGACGGACGTTTTGGCGTCAATTCATTTTTCGGTATCGAGGACCCACAAAACAGGGATTCTGTCTACACCATCTGATAGAAGAATTTGTTTCGTAATTTAGCAAATCTATTTATTTACTTTTTCGTCTTCGAGGCCGAGCAAACAATTTTTTTTCTGTCGAAAATTAGCCGTTTTTTCGCGCAGAATTACATAACTTCTCTTCGTACAATATACTCCGTATATACGTATGTATACGAGAAAGTAAAAATGTACACACGATGAAATTAATATAAATTAATATATATTGTGGATACAACCTTTATTCTTTCTGTACTATAATGGCTTTACGATTTTTTTGTTAAGTGTAGTCTTTATCAACTCGAAAGAATATATTTGTATTCGTGAAAGAGTATATTTGTACAAAGCGAATTTTGTTTTTCTGTGCCAGGTTAACATTTTTTAAACTTATTATATTTTCTCTTAATAGCTACCTATAGACCTACATTATTTTTAAACAAAAATAGGACGGCTGAAGGAAGTGCAAAAGAAGAGTACAAAGTGTGAAATTGTGCAAATTCTTTTTTTAGTAGGCTCAAGAAGATATTTTGAGTATCCAGGCTTTTGCTTAAAGATTATTCTTTAGTTGTTGATTTATAATGATGTTGCCATTTTGTTGTCATGAACCTGTCAACAACTCGCGATGCATCTTTGCAGTGATTACTCGTGACAATTAGTATTAGCTCCCTCGTAATGCATCAGAACACGTTTTACTTCTGTATGTGGATGCTAAGAAGCACGACGTGAAAGCAACATTTTGAAAAGGTCTGATCTAGTAGCTTACGTCATAATAACTGATATGTTCGTTTAATTAAACTCAAGTACTGCCAACATCAAGACCCAACTTCATGGTCATAACAGGCGGGAAGAAATTAAATGAGTCTTTCTCTAAAACTTGCGTATTAACATGTCAAATGTTATGGCAAGCGACATTTTACTACACGAAATATGCTGAGAAAGATTTGAATGTTTGATCTCTGGTAGATGCATATTGATTGAAACATCTTCAGGCTTTTAATAAAATTCATTCTTTCTTTCAGACATTCTGGAATGTAATTTGTGTAACTGTGACCTTAACAATTTGTATCTGCGTGATGCTGTTTCCATTTATTGTACCAAAACTGTACACCGCTACAATGAAACTGATCATGTGTCACATGACATGTGAGGTGTTAATTTATGTATTTCGCACCATTGCTTTTGCTTGGGGCGACTTACCTATGCCTCTATGTAAAACATACGGTAAGCTTATATTACTTTATAATTTCATACATTGATTCACAGAAGTAAGTAAAAAGTAATTATCTATGGCGAATCATGACTCATAACCCTAGTTTTCGTCTTTCCAACCATGAATAATAGAAGTTCAGTGGTGTAGATGGAAAGAAGCTATGTTGGAAAAACGACCTAGTTCATTATCGTGTTGTTAATGCAATACAAGTACTTGTCATCTTTCAATGTTAAAAAGATCAGTACATAAGTCTTGAATTTTTAGAATTAGCTTAACATGAGTTTCGTATTTCAGCGTACACTTAATGTAAAGACCTTTCCCTTCTCTCCACTGCAAAGCTATTTGGAAATATTTGGTGTAATTTCTAATTCGAACATGCTACTTGCTTTTCTCCCTCTCATACAGATTTAAGATCCATCTAGCATTTGAGAGAGCGTTACATTACCTCTCCACAAGTCTAAGTACTTTTGTGTCGAAGATGCTACATTTAAAAGTGCATAAATTTCCTTAAAGTAAGATCTCATGTTTCCTTACAACGTAATAAATAATTTATTCAATCTTAGGAATTGGCAGTAAAGGATTTTGTTCGATATTATACTTGAAGTAATGGTGCTAAAACAGTTAATACTTTCTCGAATTGTATTTACACGCAAAATTACGTAAAAATACTCATATTTCCGAAAAACCTATTTCAAAATCTATCTTTAAGGAGTAGATTTCATTAAGAGAAAAATCTCTATATTCATAGTTATTTTAGTTGTAGGAAGATAAAAAATACTTTTGCAATTTTCAAAAAATCAGAGTTTTTAACGAACATCCTGCTCTATTCTCTTGAACATCTTTCACACTATCCAACACCAAAATTTAATCAAAATCAATGAAGCGATTTTTTAAAAATTTTGAAAAAGTCTCGGGAGCTTCGTGAAAAGTATCTCACAAAATTAAAATATCAATTTCAAATTCAAGGAGTCGCAACATCAGCCAGATCGATTAAGGAATATCAATTTCGGAGTAAATCGGCTGAACGGTTTAGTCGCTAGACTTGTCAGACGGGCAGATTGGCTGACGTTTGGCCGTCATTCTAGTTTGCGGTATCAAGGACCTAAAAAACATGGATTCTGGCTACACCACATGATGCCAAGTTTGGAGAAAATTGACAAATTTCACCACTCAGGAATTTTACATTAAGGAATTTTCGATATCGAGGACCCAAAAATTGGAATTCTGACTACATAAAAAGTTAATGGGAGTACTTATACTACGGATAGATAAAATATATATCAACGTTTTCGATATCAGGACCCAATAATGGGAGTATTTCTGACGAAAATCGCCACTTTCTATATTAATCTTAAAATATTTGTTCTTGAGTGTGTAATTATGCAGAAAGCGAGAAAGTAAAAAATGGGTTATGACAAACGGTATTCATCCTGAATTTTAAAAACATAAAGTATTGTTATATTATTTATCATTCATTAAATTAAGTCATTTTGTGATAATCGAATTGATGGCTCTACAACTTTTGACCTGTAGTTCCTTTGTATCCTGTATTGTAAGATATTCTAGAATATATTATTGCTTTCGAATATATATTATTTAATAATTGCTCATTATCTTATTTCAGCACTGTTGATGCAATATTTGAGATTAGCCGGTTTCTTTTGGATTAATGTCATGTGTATAGACATGACCTCCAAATTCAGGTGAGACATTTGTATAATGTTTATATGTTTCGTATATTTTATTACTTTATATTGTTATATCATTGTTGCAACATATCTATTATTAAACTCATTGCTAAGTTTTGAACACAATACGTCGATTGGTAAGATCACAAGCAGCTAATTTATATTTTTTCCCAGCCATAGAACGAACGTTCGCTTTTTCACAACAATCGACCAGCCGTGTGGAGCCACCATGTGCGCTCCTATTGTTACTGCCTTCGATCGCTTTCCTGAAAGTGTTTTAATATTCGCGAGTAGCAGATCACTCAGTAGGTAAAGAAAAGATTTGCAATCATTTGAATCAGACACGGTCGGAATCGACCCACTTTCCCTGACGTAGGCTGACCGTAAAACCCATTTATATTGGCCATTTCGGTTCATCTAGCCCTAAATATGAACTAACAAGCAGAATATTTGGCCATCGAAAGAAGTGTCGAGGTTACTATTCCAACCTGCATCTCCGTGGTGTGTGGTACTTAAGGTTCTTTTTTTAGAGCACACGACCACGCCTAGTGACGAGAAGCGTCGTGTGGCTGCGGTTGCAGTGGCAAGATGCGGGGCGCCCTCACGCGTCTCGGGCGCCGCTGTGCACGACAGCGGTTCGCTTACTTACTCGCTGCACGCCCTGGGGGTGGCCGGGCGTGCATCGTGGCGGTGACTGCGGCGCTGACCTCACCCCGGCCTCGGCGGACCACCCGCTGCGCCCGTACATCGGCGACATCTCCTGCAGCTTCCACAGTGAGTGTCCATGGGCAAGGCAAGTCGTTAGTCTCGTAAGTGGAGTGCTTGTTTCTGCTCTGGAGGTAGTGGTCTTCTTTCTCCGCTGGTTGAAGAGATCTCGCGTCGACCCGTTACCGGCTTGTGGGGTTTTCCCAACCAAGAATCTCCCACCACCTCAGCCGGGACAAGCTCTAAGCCCCCGACGGGACTCTTGACATGTGTGGTAGTGGAGTGAATGTTAGTGCTATACTCCGAGTTCCTTTGCGTGACACTTTTCTTATTCCAATCATTCGAGATACTTCTCTTGCCTTTTTGTTGTTACCTATGGGATCCATTGTTAATAGTGCAGATTTATTGTTTGTTTTTCACTTTTTCTTCTTCCATTTTCGTTTTTCAGTTGACCTTTTTCATTTTCCGATTTTTACTTTTCATGTTTTCTATTTAATTTCACCATTTAGTTGAACAATGTTTATCTTTATGTCCTATTCCGCTTTTTTGTTTTTGGTTTTATTTTTTTATTTCATGTTTTTTAAATTATTACCTTTTTGTAATTAGTACTTAATTTTTCAATTTTCTATTTCATATTTTTCTGCTTTTCTATTTTCTTTCATATTACGCTAATTCTGTTTTGAAGTTCTCGTTTTCCCTCTTTACGTTTCCTTTACTTTCCGCTCTGCTTTGAAATCGTGCTTAATGCATTTTCCGTTCTCTTATTTGGTTTTCGTTTTACATTTTCTGTTTTCCGCTTTTCCGGTACCCGCCTTTTGTTGTTCCTTTTTATGTTTTTTTTAATTTAAATTATGCTTTGGTGTTTTCCCTGTTCATCCTTTCACTTTATCCGATTTCCCATTTCTTTTCCACGTAACTCATAAGTTGATCGTTTCTCGTTGATGGTTGTTTCTTGCTCATGTTCGTATTCGTTGTTTATTTTCCCTTCATCGTTTATCAATATTTACTTTCAGACTTCCCTGATGTTTTTTTCTGTTTTTTTGTTAATCATTGATCGTTCTTCGTACTTTTTACGTTTCATTTCACATTTTTAGATTTTATATTTGCAAATATTAATAATTTTGTAAGTTTTATTTGCCCTTCATTTTTTCTATTTACGTTTTGTTTTTCGTATCGCTATTTCCGTTTTCTATTTCTCGTTTTTCACTTTCTGTTCAATGTTGGTTTGGTTCTTTGGTAATTTTTTATTTTCTAATTTTATGAAGAAGAACATTTTTGTTGAACTATTTGTTTTTTCGAAAATGTAAAAGTGAGAAATAGTGCGAAAAAGATGTTATGTTGTAACAATCATTTTTTTGTTTTGTTTTTTCAATGTTCTTTGTCTTCCGCGCTTCTTGTTTTTGTTTTCCGCGTAATTTTTTATTTTCAATTTTTTATTTCTGATTTTGCCCCGTCTTCAATTTTTCTTTTTATTTAATTTAATTTTTTGGGAATTTCGTTTTCTTCAGTGGTTTCATTCGTGTTACTTGTTTTTCGTCTGCCGATTTTCGTTGTTTTGTTTTCTGATACCAAATTTTCTTTGCTTTTTATTAACGATGTTCGTTCGTCGTTTTATACTTCCCCCTAACGTTGATGGTTGTTCGTTCTTATCGCGGATCCACACATTCGGCTTTCGACGAGCCCAATCACAAACAGCTGATGGGTTCGTTTGAAGTGTCCAAAAGACTGAAAGGCTGTGGGTAGGGCGAGCTGCAATTGTTCGTACTTGTCAAATAGCAAGAAACTCATCAACACTAAGAATTTGGCGAGCAGTTGCTCGCTACTTGCCAAATAACGAATGTTTGACGCTTCTTTTTGTTGTTCGCCGTTCGTTGCATGTCGTTCATGGATCTTCCATCTTTCGTCCTTCCTCCATTGTATGTGCGTCTTGAAAGTGCTTCGTCATTTTTCGTCGAAATAAAAAAAAATCATAACATATGTTTCATCATGACATAAAATGAATTCCTATACCAAACGGCGTTAAGCAAAAAGAAAAAATGACGTTTCATTAAAATCCAACCCCTAGTTATGTTGTTCGTTTGCGCCTCGTCGTCCACCCTCCGACGTTCGAAAGAAGCGATCTTCAAGAGTTTTCGCCCTGATCTATTAATACACATTTGTCCTTCTTTGAATAACGTTCATTTTTTATTATTCTTTATTAAATTATAGTTTGTTTCACTTATCCGTTCTTCAATCATTGACGTTTCTTAGAAGTGACGGTTTACATCAACCGAAGTTCGTCCTTTCGCATTTGTCGTCTTTCGTCACTATTTCGACTTTCTTAGCGCGTCTTCTTTTTTCGACGATTTTTCGAACCATTTATTTCTTGACTTCAGTCTTTCACCCCGCATTTCTTATCCACTTCCCGCATTGTGCGCAAGAAATATTATGACGACTCCGTAGCATTTGCATAAAGGCTGATGCAAGTAATTGTACCATCTGCTAGCCACTGAAATGGAGTCATGTTTGGGTAGTCTCTTAAAACAATTTAAGAAAATCTGTTACAGATATACTCAATGCTAACTTTTCTTTTGTCATATTCCGTCTCTCATTTATCGACAATCAACCCACAATTTTTCGTTTTCGTTTTTCATTCTTCGTGTTTCGTTCGTATTGTGTCCATCATTTTCTCTTTCGTCATCATCTTTTGTCATTATGAAGTAGTCGAATGTCGACCCACTTCCGTCGTTCGTCGTTTTTCTTTCGTCACATGGCCAACGTTCGTTGCTTGAGAAGTTCGTCTTTTTACTTGCGATGTAGCTTGTACATAATTTTATGGTTCTTTGTTATTATTTGCCTTTCGTCTTTTATCCTTTGACTTTTGTTGTTGTCTTTCTCTGTCGTCCTTTGCCAATCGTCTTTCGACCTTTTCCCTTGTCTTACAATTTGCCTTCATCATTCGTCTATGCCTTTTGTCTTTCTATTTCGTCTTCATTCTTCCGTATCTACATGTCTTAGTCTCTCGTCTTTCCCCTTTGGCATTTTGTCTATTGTCTTTCGTTGATTGATTTACTGTTTATATCGTATTTCCTGGCAAGTCAACTGATTGGAAGATCGAACACCGACAAAGCAATCGACTTGAGGGGTTTTTCCCATCCAGGTATCTATCACCAAGGGAAGGACACCGTCCTAGCTGGGACCAGCTTCAAGTCGGTGACTGGTGTGAGGCCCTTCATGTGACACGTTTAGAGGGGGACACCCCTGGAAAACGATTCGACTCGAACAACAATATTCAAAGAACAGAAAAATAACAATAATATACATAGAAAACAAACGAACGACGACTGACAAACGAGAGATATTAGAGATGTTTAATTATTGAAAAAAGAAGTATATTAAGAACTCAATAACAAAAGAGATTCATGTGTAAAAAATGAATAGACAGGAATGAGTCAAGAGCCCAGAATTTGGCATACTCGACTGAATTCGTTGGGGAAAACGCGCATGTTAATCATGTTGCTGAGGAAGTTATTCGACAGCTCGGTGGAAAACCCATTCAGCAGTACTCAAAAGATTTCGTAAGACGACGCGCGAATGAATTGTAACGAGAATGTATATTAGGAGAACGAAAATTCATAAGCGTTATTTGGGACTGGGTGAAAGGTATCATATACGAAATTTGTGAAAGCGCGTGCAAGAGAGTTAAATGGAAAACATGTAATGATATGAGGAAGGTGATACATCTGAGGGTGGCACAAGTAAACGTTGGTAGAGAAGTTACGAAATTTTGTGGGAGGAAATCGATAAACAAATGATGAAATTTTCAATAGTACCTTAGAGAAAATATTTTCTTAAAAATTATAAAGAACGAATTGTTGAAAATGAGAAAGCGGGTGATTTATATGACGAGACAATTTAATGAGCGGAGGAAAGAGGCACGAACGCAGTTTTGAGGGAAGAGAACGGTAGGTGAATAGACAATCCGCGCCATTCGTTTCCTATTCTCTGTGTCGCACTAAGTAGGAAGTCACGGAGATGCATATTACAGCTAAAACATTTTTCGGTTTTTGTGTTTATTATTTGTTTCTTAACGCTTGGAAATATTTTTTCATTTTGTAGGTTTAAAAACGGCTCTTCTGTACTACTACGGAGTGGTTATCCTGCTTGTTCTTATCAATATTGGGCTGTTTATGGTTACATCAATTTCAATATATCGCACCAAGCAGGAAGTTTTGGATATCATCTCGGCAATGGATAATTTTCAAAGCGACATTCAAATTGCAAATCGAGAGGATCAACGAAGGTAATAATAATTATTTTTCCTTGCACGTATTGATTGCTGGCTTTATTTTGTGCACATGTTCAGAACATTTTACTTCATTATGATTAAGTTGTACTGACTTACTTAAGTGAGCCAATCTCCTACCATCATTAAACACTCATTATCCCAAAAGTCGAAACTGCTCTATTCTTGAAGGCATGGAAGCACACTTGATGTGTGGTTCATCACAAAAACAGTGGATCCTTCCAAGCAAAATGCTGCCTCTTTCTGCTAAAGCCATTAGACGACTGAGGATTGGTATATTAATTATTTCACAGTTTTTATAGCTGAATACACGCTAAAGATCAGAACATACGCTATTCGTGAAGTGAATGGTTGCTCTTTGCAGTCTAAACTGTGAATATTGAGATACTGAGGGAATTTAATATTGCTAATGTCTTAGTTAGAAACAAATTTATGATAAGCTGAATATGGAAAGCAATCGGAATCAAGAAAATGTGGATATTGTTTGCAACACTTTTTATGTAAAATTTACAAATATAACAACAAATTATGAGTTTTTCTATTATAATGTTACAATGTTACATGCTTACCAATATTCCTCTCTTCTCCCAAATCCAGGGCTATTTTTAATTTTTTTGTTCTCAAACATAATTTGAATGGCAAATACTCAGCTCACTTATCTTGCAATCTTGCGTAATTTATGTTCAGCAAATGTTTTCTTGAAATTCTGAGGTTTTTACATTGTTCCCATTATCATACATTGTTTACATTTATTTGTAAACATTGTTTAATAGAAATATGAAGTTCCTTTCTTTTTCTATTTGTCTAGTTTGGTGATGTACTTGAAGATTTTCTGTCTAATGGGTTTGACATACGTGACTGAAATCATCGCTTGGTATGACGGATCTACTTTCACCAGTATCCTCATGGATGTCAACTCAATGCTGTTGAGCATTTTTGTATTTTTGCTGTTTTGTTGCAAACCGCAGGTAAGTAACACACGAAGAACTGTAGTCACAAATATATTTATAGACAGAATTAATTACACTTTTTTCTAAATAACGTTTTACACTTGTTTAAGCAATGATGTTATATTATAATAATAGACGAGACACAACTCGAAAGTATATTTTGAGACACAGCTCGAAAGTATGACTTGTCTCGCATCTTTAGATATATTTATTATATTTTTATATATTGTCTAAAACTAATAAACCACAGTTATAACCAGATATAAATCATGGGTCCACAGTCGAACACACAATGTTCCAAGTACATTAAAACAAATAAGGAACGCCCTTGTAAAGATAACAAAATGCAATAATGTTATCTTTACAGGCAATGGAATCAATTTTCGAGTTTGACGAAGGCATAAAAAATGCAATGAATTATTTTGTACTAGTACTTAAGACAAAATCTGGGCGTAACTACTAGTTGATAATTATTGAAGGCTTTAAAATATGAGAACTACACATTAGATATTATTGTGCCATTTACAAGAAAGTAATTTATAATAAACTTGCAAATACGTAGTTCTATTTCACATGTTAAATATAAAATATCGTAAGAATTCTTGAACAACGAACTGAAAAACATTACACACAATTCACATCACATAATTAATGTTTTTGGGAGATGAGCGACGGTACGGTATATCTTAAGAATTACGACGATTTAGTCATGACTAAACCGACACAATCCATATCTTTTTGTTACGATTTATCAACGCTAGAGACATTTGTAACCATAAATTAATTTACGAAATATGAATGCATACTGACTGTGGACCATTCTAACATAGGGAATATTTACGTGTGTTCTAAGAAACTAGTGTTGCTACATCATCACATACTTTCCCGCGTTATTGAACACAGCTACTAAATATTAAAGTATTCCTTTTCTGGGCTACTACCACATCATATATTATTTGAAAACGTTCCAATTCAACCACGACGCGCGCAACGTACAAATCACATCGCAGCGTTGTCAAAACTATGTGCATTTGCTTGGATAATAATATCAATACAGTAATTAGAATATATGCAATTTACATCAAAATAATGACGATAATTCTGACTTTCGTCGGAACAGTTCCCGTAGACTTTCATCGTTTTTATTTTATTCAATACGCAGTAAATATACTTAGCGATCAGGTAATATTAAATGGTATATATAACATACTTCACCGAGCATTCTGAGCAGTAAATTATAACAAACCCGCTTGTTTAGGTAGCCTATTGTGCTCCATTCTTTCTAAATGTTTTTTATAGTCTTGTTTGTATTGTTGTATACAATCATTTAGACTAAATATATTTAATTATTTTCTTATATCTTTATTTCTTTGTTTGTCTACCAAAGTACAAGCTTTTGCTCTCCTTACAAATTTCATTTCTGTAATATTCATATTTTCTTTTTGAGAATCCAATTTTCACTCCCATACAGGACAACTGGTGTTGCCATTGTTTTATAAATTTTCACATTGTGTCGTTTCTAGTCTTATTTCTTATTGTTCTATGTACCGTGCTGCATATATACTGGAACTTGTGCAATCATTTTTTTATATCTTGGCTACGATCGTAACTTATATTACATTCCAGATAATTGAAGTATTATCGTAACTTATATCACATTCCAGATATTTGTTCTATTATTTGGTTTTCCAGGCATATCTTTGTTCTAATTGGACAGACTCCTTTAAAAGCCATGACCTTTGTTTTTTGTTTTGATATTTTTATGATATAATTTTTACACATTAGATTTAAGTAATGGAGTGCCATTTGAAAATCATTTTCCTTTTCATACATAATAACTTGGTCATCAGCATAGCAGATATAATTATTTCCGTTCAATCTGTTCCCTTGTTTTACTATTAATTTCCATTCTCTAAGAATATCGTCTATATAGATGTTACGTAATATTGGGGAAAGGCTGCAACCTTGCTTTAACTCTTGGATAGTTTTTAATGGTTGTGATTGTTGTGAATTTATTTCTATTCGGATTTTTACATTTTTATATAAACTTTTAGCTATGTTCATTAAATGTTTACACGGTCGAAGGCGTTTCAAAATCAATTAATGCAATGTGCGTGTCCAAATTAAGATAACTTCTTTTCTCTATTATTTTGTTCAATATAAAAATATTATCTATGCAAGATCTTTCTTTCTGAAGCCATTTTGCTCTTCTAACAATATAACTTCAGCTATCGTCTTAATCCTCTTTTGGATCATTTTACTGTAGATTTGTAGAATATTGTAAATTAGATATGTTGTGTTTAAGAAGATCTATATTTTTGACAGCTACTTCGATCTCCCTTTGAAAACACAGATATTATTAGGACTTCTTTGCCATTCTTCTGGTATCATTCTTCTTAGGCAACATTGATTGTATAGATGTATCATTCTCAAAGGGAGATACGTGCTTCCATATTTTAGTAATTCTACGTTTGTATTATCTATATTTAACCTTTATACATTTCATTTCTTTTAATACTTGTAATAATTCTTCTGTTGTTAGTGGATCAATATTATCTTTCTTTTGTTCTTTTCTTCCATTGGGTTGAACCATAGATTCTCATAGTGTTTTAGCCATTTCTCTTCAACTATAACTTTCAATTGAACGGTATCTTTTTCTTTTGGATTGAGTTGTCTCAGTACTTTATAGGCTAGTACTTGCTACCATGAATATAACTTTCTATTCTATTTATGAAGTGATCCGACGCCTCCTGATGTGCTATACGAGATCAGAGAGTATATATCAGAGACGGCACTCAATGTTAAACGGAAAGCCCTTATTTTCGTTTAGGGGAGAAATTCGAATCTCCCACCCCAACAGAAACAACGAATGAGAAAGAGGCAATTGGCCCACGCCCAGCCTAATAAGCGTCGAAGGCAGTAAACCAATTGAAATGGAGGACGGACGTGCAACGGGCTATTTGAAATTACTTATTTAGTAAATTTTCAATATGGTGGACATGGTTATGTACTAAATTAAATGTTTTGGCATGAATGCCCAAGGTAATGTAGAAGTTAGTAATTCTTAAAGGATATGTAATTGTGAGGAAGTGAAATAAAATGTAATGATAGGAAGTGAAAATTAAAAAAGATATTTTACATCAACAATATTTATTTGTATAATTGGTTCATATACAATAAAATATCAATGTTCATGAAAAAATGCTGTTATGTGAAACAAAGGAGCAAATCCTGGTCAATCTTCATTGTGATACCATCGGTATACTAAATATCACTGCTGCTAAACAAAACAAAAATAATAATAAATTTGTCACATAACCTAACTATTTTTAAACATTGTTTAACGAACAATTATTATTTATATCATTTTTTGACCAAAACCGTTAGATCTAATACTAATTGTTTCTTAATTATTGTATTTATGTAACTAAAACATTATTTATAATATAGGTGTAATGAATGGTTGGTGGGCAAATTGGAGAATCCAACATTGGCTGTTTGCCCATTGACAAACACTGATGCACAGAAGTTGTGTGCTGAACATTTCATGCCTAGAATGTTGATGCGCAAGAAGAGCAGGGTGGAATTGCAGTACGAATCATATTCAATGATGTGCGTCCTGAATTGCAAGAAGAAGCCAGTAAAATAAGGCATTAATTCAATTCAATTCAAGAAGCACTCAGAACATTTTAGAAGGCATACCACCAGGACAGGCGTAAGTTATGTTTTTAGCCTCTATTAAAAAAAAATAAGACATTTTCAATTACAATTTGTATTAGATCAAAGACCCAAGATCCACCTTCTCTGAATGTCACGGTGAACCATGTCGCAATGTCCTCGCGTCAATGGGGTGGTGCTTAAGATATTCTCAGTGGCGTGATCGGAGGTAGCCACTCACACAGACATCTTTTTTTCAGTCCCATTGTTAAAGAGATGAATGCACGATTCCCTTTTTGAAGTCAATAACACATCCTCGTTTGGGTGTTACAGATGAGCTTCTCACTCCGGCTGGAGGGAGGAAAACAGAACTGCTGGGAAGGGGTATTGCAGCTCACCTCTCCATGTGCTATGTTTCTAAGAAATGTGTAATTGTCTATGTTGCATATATGAGGAAAAAAAACACTGATGACATGAAATATAATACCGCCAATTTTGGTAATCTCTTGGTATTGCTGTACAGAAATTGGATTTGAAGCTGACACTATGAATAGTAGTCAGTAGTTAGTTTTCATGAGTGATTGACATACTCCAATATCATCCTAAAACAATATGTTATATTTATGTAAGACAATTTAAATTGGAGATGAGAATTTGTGAGTTAAGTAATGGATGAACTGATATAACAGACAGCCATAAATACGCGAAATTTTGAAGAGTCAGTAGTTTACCTTTCATTAAAACGCTTTTTTATGATAACAATATTGCTTAAACACAGAATTACGCTGTATATACCACAAACATGTATTCTTATGTATGACAAATATCATTATTCTTCTAACAGCATTCTTGATGGATTTTTTCTGTAATTACACTTAATTGAATACGTCCAAAACTGCAAGGACTCCAAATATTTTCATTAATCAAAAGAATAGAAGAAATTTGTCATAGCATGTAAATAATTTCAGAAACAATACTTGAGATCAACTTTAGTGAGCTTCACTTTCCTACCGACAAGGTATGTACAAAATTGAGATGTTTTTGTGTTCTATATAATAAAAAAGATCATTTTGCAGGATAAACTGTCTCATTTTATGGCAGTTATTTTTAATTCTCTAACTATTTTTCTGTACATGTTTGCCTTGTGTACTAAATACATAGCTCTTTGGTAACAGTTTTGGGATTGTTACTGAAAATTTATATTATTTTCTAAAATATTTCACAAAATGCAACATGACTATTTTTGAGATTGTTTTAGAATCATATAATTTTAAGTATGTTTTTGCCATTTTTTATATTTAGTTACATAACACGTATGTACATCAATATAACTAGTACTAATAATTTTTGCATTTTCTGTTGCACATTTCAAACCTCTAAACTGGTTGTTGGAATAAAGGATGACCGCAGCCTAGGCACGAATCTATGAGAATTTTTTTATTATTATTATATGATCATTTGAATTTAGTCTTCTTACTCTACCATGTATAAAATTTAATTACCTTTCCATGATATTGTATTGAATACAAGAATTGAATTTTAAATTTAATTTATGTCTTTATTCAATTTTTAGAAATATCTCTATTGTGTATTGTATCTGACGTGTCATGCACAGGCGTCTGTCGGTATTTA